ATTAAGTCCATTAAGCTACAATTTGGGCGTATTTATTTTGGGTCAATTTTTTGCAGATCACAAAGGGGGTACCATCACAGATTTTGGGTAATTTTTCAGAAATGTTATTTTCTTTCGATCCCGGAGGCTAATGATCACAGAATCAGGCCAAGGCTATTCTCCATCGATAATGAAATCTATTGATCCTATTCTCCACGGATGATAAGTCCATTAATCCTCGATTTGGGCAAATTTATTTTCGGATGGCATTTTTGTAATTTTATGGACGTCGAAAGGCCATTTTCTTTGGATTTTGAAGGCTACAGATCAAATATTCGACCTGAGACTATTCTTCAACGATGATTAAGTCCATTAAGCACAGACTTTGGAGGATTTATTTCGGGTCAATTTTTGTCTGATTGCAAAGGGGTATCATCACAGATTTTTTAAGATTTTTCCGAAATGTCATTTTCTTTCGATTCCGGAGGCTACAAATCAAGGAATCAGGCCGAGGCTATTCTCCACCGATAATGAAGTCTATTGATCCTATTCTCCACGGATGATAAGCCCATTAAGCATCGATTTGAGCCAATTTATTTTTGGATGGCATTTTCGTATTCTTGGGGTTGTCGAATGTCCGTTTTCTTTAGATTTTGAAAGCTATAGATCACGGATTCGGCCTGAGACTTTTTTCACCAATGATTAAGTCCATTAAGCACGGATTTGGGCGGATTTAATTCGGGTCAATTTTTGGCAGATTGCAAAGGGGTACCATCACATATTTTGGGCATTTTTTTCCAAATGTCATTTTCTTTCAATTCTGGAGGCTACAGATCACGGAATCATGCCAAGGCCATTCTCCACCGATAATGAAGTCTATTGATCCTATTCTTCTCGGATGATATGTCATTAAGCACCGATTTGGGCCAATTTATTTTCGAATGACATTATCGTAATTTTGTGGGCATCGAAAGACCATTTTCTTTGGATTTTGAAGGCTACAGATCACGGATTCGGCCTGAGACTATTCTTCAACAATGATTAAGTCCATTAAGTACAGATTTGGGCGGATTTATTCCGGGTCAATTTTTGGCAGATTGCAAAGGGGTACCATCACAGATTTTGGGCGATTTTTCTGAAATGTCATTTTCTTTCGATTTTGGAGGCTACAGATCACGGAATCAGGCCGAGGCTATTCTCCACCGATAATGAAGTCTATTAATCCTCTTCACTATGGATGATAAGTCCATTAAACACCGATTTGGGCCAATTTATTTTCGGATGGCATTATTGTAATTTTGTGGGCGTCGAAATGCCATTTTCTTTGAATTTTAAAGGCTATCGATCACGATTTCGGCCTGAGACTATTCTTCAACGATGATTAAGTCCATTAAGCACTGATTTGGGCGGATTTATTCCGGGTCAATTTTTGGCAGATTGCAAATGGGTACCATCACAGATTTGGGGCAATTTTTCTGAAATGTCATTTTCTTTCGATTCTGGAGGCTACAGATCACGGAATCAGGCCGAGGCTATTCTCCACCGATAATGAAGTCTATTAATCCTCTTCACTATGGATGATAAGTCCATTAAACACCGATTTGGGCCAATTTATTTTCGGATGGCATTTTCGTAATTTTGTGGGCGTCGAAATGCCATTTTCTTTGGATTTTGAAGGCTACAGATCACGGTTTTGGCCTGAGACTATTCTTCAACGATGGTTAAGTCCATTAAGCACCGAATTGGGAGGATTTATTCCGGCTCAATTTTTGGCATATTGCAAAGGGGTACCAATACAGATTTTGGGCGATTTTTCCGAAATGTTATTTTCTTTCGATTTTGGAGGAGACAGATCACGGAATCAGGCAGAGGCTATTCTCCACCGATAATGAAGTTTATTGATCCTATTCTCCACGGATGATAAGTCCATTAAGCTTCGATTTGGGCCAATTTATTTTCGGATGGAATTTTCGTAATTTTGTGGGCGTCAATGGCCATTTTCTTTGGATTTTGAAGGCTACAAATCACGGATTCAGCATGAGACTATTCTTCAGCGATGATTAAGTCCATTAAGCACCGATTTGGGCGGATATATTCTGGGTCAATTTTTGGCATATTGCATCACCGATTTTTGGCGATTTTTCTGAAATGTCCTTTTCTTTCGATTCTGGAGGCTACAGATCACGAAATCAGGCTGAGGCTATTCTCCACCGATAATGATGTCTATTGATCCTATTCTCCATGGATGATAAGTCCATTAAGCACCGATTTGGGCCAATTTATTTTCGGATGACATTCTCGTAATTTTGTGGGCGTCGAAAGGCCATTTTCTTTGGATTTTGAAGGCTACAGATCACGGATTTGGCCTGAGACTATTTGTTCAACGATGATTAAGTCCATTAAGCACCGATTTGGCTGGATTTATTCCGGACCAATTTTTGGCAGATTGCAAAGGGGCAACATCACAGATTTTGGGCGATTTTCCGAAATTTCATTTTCTTTTGATTTTAGAGGCTACAGATCACGGAATGAGGCCGTGGCTATTCTCCACCGATAATGAAGTCTATTGATCTTGTTCTCCATTGATGATAAGTCCATTAAATACTGATTTGTGCCAATTTATTTTCGGATGACATTTTCGTAAATTTGTGGGCTTCGAAAGGCCATTTTCTTTGGATTTTGTAGGCTACAGATCACGAATTCGGCCTGAGACTATTCTTCAATGATGATTAAATTCATTAAGCACCGATTTGGGCAGATTTATTCCGGGTCAATATTTCGCAGATTGCAAAGGGGTACCATCACAGATTTTGGGCGATTTTTCCGAAATGTCATTTTCTTTCGATTATGGAGGCTACTGATCAGGGAATGAGGCCGTGGCTATTCTCCACCGATAATGAAGTCTATTGATCTTATTCTCCACTGATAATAAGTCCATTAAGCACCGATTTGTGCCAATTTATTTTCTGATGACATTTTTCGTAATTTTGTGGGCTTCGAAAGGCCATTTTCTTTGGATTTTGAAGGCTACAGATCACGAATTTGCCCTGAGACTATTCTTCAACGATGATTAAGTCCATTAAGCACCGATTTGGGCGGATTTATTCCTGGTCAATTTTTGACGGATTGCAAAGGGGTACTACCATCATATATTTTGGGTGATTTTTCGAAATGTCATTTTCTTTCGATTCTGGAGGCTACAGATCACGAAATCAGGCTGAGGCTATTCTCCACCGATAATGAAGTCTATTGATCATATTCTCCACGGATGATAAGTCCATTAAGCACCGATTTGGGCCAATTTGTTTTCGGATGGCATTTTCGTAATTTTGTGGGCGTCGAAAAGCCATTTTCTTTGGATTTTGAAGGCTACAGGTCATGAATTCGGCCTGAGACTATTCTTCAACGATGATTAAGTCCATTAAGCACCGATTTGGACGGATTTATTCCGGGTAAATTTTTGGCCGATTACAAAGGGGTACTAACATCACAGACTTTAACATGTTACTATGTTAGTTACCTCCACATATATATGCATGTGTGTCAACTCATACCATCAACATACTTGACCAAAAGACATTAGGTTTGTTATTCAATCCTAGCACAGCATATTCAATATACAAACCCAATGATTAACTTTTATTGGTAAGTTTATTACTTTACATAAATAATAGGACGGAGCCAAGATTCTTGATTAGGGGTGCCAAAAAAAATCGACTTACTTACAGTAACGAGAAGAGAAAAGAAGAATATTACACAGAAATCATTCACAAATTTTTTAAAATATAGTCCATTTAAAATTGTTTCAAAATTACAAAAATCATGACTTATTTATTTAAAACTTGGGACAAAAGAACCATGTTTTTAGTACTATCATATAATTATCAATTTCATAATTCATAAATTCGGATACCGTACTATTAGTAAAATAAAGTAGTAGAGATTTAACTATTTATAGATATGAAACTTATAGATTTTCAAAGAATACAAAGTACCTGCAAAACAATTGAAAAGGCTTAAAAAATACAGAGAAAACTAATATAAACTAGGCTTAATAAAAGAGAGACATGATTAAAATTGAAAACAAATTAAGGAACTAAAATGAATACCGGAAAAACTAATATAAACTAAATAATAGAGAGGCTTGGTCCAGTAGAAATTAAAAACAAATTATAAACTAAATAATAGAGAGGCAGCGGCATGGTAAAAATTGAAAACAAATGAAGAAAATGTAGAAAAACTAACAAGTTTTTGGTGCTTGATTAGACTCGACTTTTAAATCCTTTTAATTATTGTATGTTGTACCAGCATGGGCTGGGGTGTAATTTTCAATGTTATAAAGTAAAAATAAAATAAAAATAATAAGAGGATTGTTAAAGAACACTATCTAGAGATTTCTAAACTAACAAAACATTTCCTTAACTCACTGCCAAATATCTAAGTTGTATCAAATTACTCATTTTGGTAAAAACCAATTCAAACCACCTCTGGGTTCTTTTAACTAGGGTGGAAATCGGTACGGTATCGGTATCCCAATATCAAATACCGAAATCCCGAATACCGAATTACACCCTAAAATCAATCTCAATCTCAATCTCAATCCCTAAATAATTTTGGTATCCCAATCTCAATCCCTAAATAATTTCAGTATCACAATCGGTATTATCAAATACATAATTAATTACCTTTACAATTAATAATTAAATATATAAATTAGATTTTATTGTTTAATTTAGGGCAAAGAGACTAAGCAAATAGTCTTGAGTTTCCTAGAGCTAACATCTCAAGTTCTTGTAATTGGAAATCTTTAATTTGAGGAATTTGAGGCTGAGAGACGACTAGTATTAGTGTGAAATAGTGATGTAGAAATCTATGTATAATTAAATGACCCTTTTGATGGTTGAGGGTCGCGTAGTAGTGATGAGAGAGTTTAGTTGAGAGGATAAAATACACATTAGCTTATATTTCGGTATTGATCGGTATTTCGGTATATACCGATCCCAATCCCGTAATCCCTAATACCGAATAACAATTGAAATTCAATCCCAATCCCACAAAATAATACGTATATTCGATAATACCAAATATAAACAAATTCGGTACGGTATTCGGTATATCCCAAATACCGGTACCAAACTTGCCGCTACTTTTAACTACTAAGACAAAACAAAGCTTTGACCCTTCACCAACCCAAGCCCAATAGACTACATGGGTCTGTTTATGGTAAAGAGTAAAGACTGCGAACCAATCTGCCCCACAAGGAAAGTCAATTTTCCCTACTTTCCCTTTCGCACCCCTCTTCTCCGTGGATTGATCATCCAGCGGCAGCTTTCACCAAATGGCATCGCCGGCGGCAGCAGCGGCAGCGGAGGAGAACCTCCCCCAGGTCCTAATTCTGCTCAACCCACCGGCCTTCACCATCTTCGGAGAAGAGTACTTCACTTCCTCCAAGTTCCGGTTCTTGAAGTCCTACGAATCCAGCCTCCCGCTAGACGAGTTCTTGTCCGCCAACGGTCGGCCCATGCGAGCACTCCTAGCCACTGCCGCGACTATTGTGGGCGCCGGCGTCCTCGAGCTCCTGCCGGACTTGCGACTCATCGTCACCACCAGTGCTGGGCTCGACCAGCTGGACCTGGCCGAGTGCCGCCGTCGAGGGATCAGGATTGCCAGCGCTGGGGATATATACTCGGCCGACGTCGCCGATTGCGCCGTGGGATTGTTGATTGATGTGCTCAGGAAGATCTCGGCTAGCAATCGCTACGTCAAGAACGGGTTCTGGGCCTCTAAAGGAGACTATCCCCTGGGTTCAAAGGTAAATTGCTTTTCATTTTCTCTTTGGGTGTTCTCTTAGCTGCTTTAATCAATTCCACTTGCTAGTTACATTGTTATTAGTGTTTGGGATCGGAGTCGAGATTAGTTTTCAATGTCTATCTTTGCTTTTGCCTATATATCTAAGAATTCTGAGACAAAGTTGGAATCATTGTGGTAAAAAATCGCCCTATAAACCTTAAAAGCTTACCGTTTTACGCATTTAGATGACTAAAACGCTTCTATGTAGTTACGTTTTTCACTGGCTTAAGTGTAGTCGAATCGCGGTTTGAGTCTTAAAAAGCTTAGGATTGACACTTTTGCGTGAAACTAGCTTAAGCAAATGGGGAGAATGAGGGCACTTGTCGTTGGTTTAAGCTCCATGTTCTTGACCAAAAGCAGCAGAGATTCCTCTTATGTAATCAGATCAACCCACTGCTGGTTTTCGTATGTATGAACGTATCTCCTCCATCATACATTCATACTATGTTTATTTCAGTTGCGGGGCAAGCGCATTGGAATAGTCGGACTGGGTCGAATAGGGCTTCAAGTTGCCAAAAGACTCCAACAGGGCTTCGGCTGCACCGTTTCATACAACTCCAGGAAGAAGAAGAACCCTGATCAGGTTCCATACCCTTTCTACCAAGACGTGCAGGAGCTGGCTGCAAACAGCGACGCTCTGATCCTCTGCTGCGGATTGACGGAGCAGACGCGGCACGTGGTCGACAAGGAAGTGCTGGCGGCGTTAGGGAAGGCAGGGGTGATCGTCAACGTCGCTCGAGGCGCGGTGGTGGACGAGAAGGAGATGGTGAGGTGCCTGGTGGAAGGAGAGATAGCTGGTGCTGGGCTGGATGTGTTCGAGGACGAGCCTGTTGTACCTAAGGAGCTGTTGGAGCTTGATAACGTTGTGTTGAGTCCTCATTCTGCTGTCTTGACCAGGGAATCCATGATGGAGCTGGCCCGTCTTGTGGTGGGGAATCTGGAAGCCTTCTTCTCGAACGAACCACTGCTGTCTGAGTATGAGGATGACTAATTGCACGAATTGCAGAGGGGGTTTATTTGGTTTGTGTTGTACCGTTGGAAGTTGTAGCAAATTCAAATGTACCCATCTTATTTTGTTCTCACCGTTATTAAAAAGAATGATTTTGACGTTTTATGCATATTTTAGATCTCATCTTATTCTTAAGTGTTCTATTGTCATAATCATATGACTTGAATTGTACTATCAGCAGCTACGATTGGAATAGTCGGGGTCTGGGTCTGGTCTGGTCTGTAATCGTTTCTTTTGTCCGATTGGATTAGGTTTAGACTCACATGGAGAAATATAAATACTTCTCATCTCCTCTGTAATATGTAATCTCCTCGATATAGTGAAACTGCTCTCTCTCTCTCTCGCCCGTGGATTAGCTAACACACATCGTGTTAGTGAACCACGTAAATCGTGTGTCGTGTTTTCGATTCTCACTTCCGTATTATTGCTTTCTCGATTCCGGTGATTTCCCGATCTGTATCATCGCGTTTATAACCGTATATACTTTAGTTAACCCAATTACCCCTCAATATTATTTCTTATTCTCTTACCTTATGGTTCTCCCCTAGTTAACTTCATTTAGTTTCTTTAATTCCCTTTTTTAAGTTAATCTAGTTAATGTACAACAAAACCATATGGATTGACTAGACAGTAGTTCGAATTTTAGTAGTGATAAACCTAAAGGTCCTCTTGGATGCAATTGTGGCCCATCTATTATGACTTATTTGATATGTGGCTAGGAGAAGAAAAAAATATGAAAATAAGAGATCTCAAAAGTGGAGCATCAATCTCAATTAAGTCCATGAGGTTTTGTTGAATGTCATGTCAAATACTCATAACTTACTTCATGTCGTCGACGAAAACCTCAATTTTAAAGAGGTATTGGGATGTACCTAAATTTAGTAGCAATCATATAGCTTCTGATGGTTAAGAAGCACTTGCTTAGAGGAAACCCAATTCCAATTTTATTCCTTTTTTCTATTACTTTTATATTTTCTAGGTTAGTAGTGAACAACTATATCATGGATGTTTATCTCCCCTATCATTGTGTGTTTTACCCCAAATCTTGATCTTAGCCTTCATTTGATTTTCTTTCACTTTCTCTATCGGTTCATCAATGTAGTAATCGTGTTTCAATACGCTTTCACATTGTTTTATGCACACTGGGGGACAATAAGGGGTTTAAGTGTGGGGGTGTATAGTTATGTGGTTAACCAATGCTTGCATGTTGTCGTGTGCTTAACGTTGGTTATGGAAGTGTATTTTGCCTAAAAAATATTTAAAGTTAATTATGATATGGCATCTGTGTGGCAAGTGAGGCTGAGTTATCGGTGACGTGTGCGTCAATTTGGCATCCTATTCAGCGTGCCGTTAACCTAACTAACGAAATCAACACCGTTAAATTTTGTAACGGAAATGACTAAATTTGTCAAATAACTATTAAAATTCTGGCTATTTCGTGTATTCCGAAAATTATATTTATATCTGTCGCAAACATTTAAGTTTGACGCCTTAAGTACTATTGTACTTAGAAGTTAGAACCAAGACCGAATGACCCGAATACCGTTTTGTCCTTGGTGACGGGATCGGTCCAACCACTGTCACATTCTACGTTTGAAAGTGGCGTACAAGCTGGGGCCTGAAAACGACACCGTCGGCGACGGCAAGGGCAGTGGTAGGAAAGTGAAACCCCAAACATTTTTACGGTATTACCCCCAAGCACGGAAAAGGCAAAGCAGCAGCACTTAATCGCTTTCAGCAAGATAGAGCAAGAAAGAGCGACTGGGGAAGGAAGGAAGGAAGCAGAGCATACGAAGTAAACTAGGAAAGGAAGAAGAAAGAGTTCCTCGTCGTTTCCTTTCCTTTCCTTCTTGCTATACGAATGTGATCTCTGTTCCAAAAGCATTGCAGCTGGACAGAGCAATCTAAGCTCCCCATATCCTCTCAAGTCTCAAGCACACAACTTTGATCTTCCGCCATAGCAGTCTCCATTGTTACTTCCGCTTCTGGCGGGTTCCGTCCCTCCCTTATGGACTCTCTTTGAAATAAGTCGATCCAACTTCAGACTCCCCATTTTCGTGAGAGATCTGTCCTCACAATCGACGGCCCTCGGTAATTCCTTTCCTCCTTTCTTTCCCCCCTTTCTCCTTCCGAGATGTTTTCTTTTCCTGCGTTTGATCCGGTTTCGATTCTAGGTTTTCAGTAAGCAATGCCGCTCAAGAGGGGATTGTCCGCCAGTCGGAACAACCGAGGCCCCGCTGGTGGATCTCGATTGCCGATTACGCTTGCGTTATTCTTCTTCTTGTTCTTGGTGGCTCTGATGTTCTCCGTTGGTCCTTGGCTCCGCACCGGCGCTCCGATCGGTTTGTATTCTCCCTTCATCTCGTTGCTTCTTTTCAATTGGTCTTTGTTTTAGTTGGAAGCTGAAATTTTTGAACGACTGAATGTACGATAGCCGTCAGACCTAGACATTGAAAGGTGAATGCGAGGGCTGAGTAGCTTTTGCCTAGTTCATTAGCAACCTGTGACTTATCCAAATGGTTAAATGATTGAATGGTCGTGGCAGAGCTTTGACAATGTAGTGATGATTTGGATCTTTGGATCATACCATCCACGACCCTTTGCAAATGACATGTTGGTTGGAATCTCATTTTCCAATCACAGATGAGATGGTTTCTATTAGTTGTGTTTGCACTTGGTTAATTTGTGCTCATCTGTCCTATTGTTCAAATCAAATTTAATGAGCTGTTGGTTTCTCTAGGTAAACGTCTGGTTCAATCAGATAACAGTTGTGTCAGTGCGCCCAGAGTGCATAATATTGTCCTGTTGTCGTCTCTAGCTTCCTTGTCATTTTTCTAGCTCATCATCGTTATCTTCCTTTTTGTGCATTGTTGTAGGGCCCCACTGATTTTAGATGAATGTACAGATTTTTATTCGGTTGAGCTGGTCTCGTAAATGCATCTCCTGATTGCTAGACTGTATTGATCGCTTCTCTATGAGTTGCTGTAGGAATTTATAGTGATGATTTTTACCTGTGCAGATGAAGCCAATCTTCCGAGTGGCTCCATTAACCAGGTAATGCTTCTAGACATCTCTCATTTGTATAAAGCCTGTAATTTTTCAGTTTCATGCTTGTTTAGCTTCGTTATGTTTATCCCGTAAGATAGAGGTTTGTTGATTGATCCAGGATTTGGATTGGAGAGAACGGTTGGCATTGCAACATGTTAGATCGCTTTTCACTAAGGATGTAAGTGTTAACTGTAGTGATTCTACTTCCCAGGATAAAATTGTGTCATTTCGACTGTTTTCTGCACAATTGATGTTACCATAATGCATAGTTTTATCCTCTCTGAGTTTACCATAATGTGACTGTTCCTAAGATGCTGGTCGAATTGGGCATGTAGGTCATTGATGTGATCACAGCTAATACCGCTGATTTGGGGCCTTTTAGTCTTGATGCTTTTAGAAGAAGCAATCTGTCTGCTTCGTGGAAACTTGTTGGAGCTGAGGCTTCAGCTGACCATATATCCTCTTCCGAGGTTAGTATCACTATTTTGGTCTGTATGTGATTTCATTGCATCAGTACTGTGAGTTGTATTCCATGTTGAGATTACGACACTGAATTTTCCCTCTCTGTCTGGTTGTCATTATTTCAGTTAAAACCAAAGCAATCAGCTACCATTGTCAAGCAAGAAGTACCTACCAAAAAAGATACAAAGTTGTCTGGTGATGCTTTTTAAAACTGCGTAATCTAATATTTGCTGTTTGTTCCAAGTTTTGTGGCTGACTGGTTTTGCTTTCTTTTCTTGTTCAGATGATCAGGCTCCATTTGTTGAATCACCTGAAAAATTTGCTCGAAGGGTATTTATACTTGTTCCATAGCTTTTATGTATCAGTTATTATCTACTATTCATGTTGTTCCTCAGATTTAAATTTTTGTTAATCATGCAGCAACTAAGAGAAAAAAGACGCGAGAAACGTGCAGCGGAGTTGATGCGGCAAGGAGATGAAACAACTATAAAATTTGAAAATGCTGCTATTGAACGCTCTAAATCAGTTGACTCTGCTGTTCTAGGAAAATACAATATTTGGAGAAAAGAGATCGAGACAGAGAATGTTGATTCTACTGTACGCTTAATACGAGATCAGATGATAATGGCAAGGGTATATATAAGTATTGCAAAGATGAAAAATAAACCTGGTTTGCAGCAAGAGCTACAAACTCGACTTAAAGAGAGTCAGCGTGTCGTAGGAGATGCAACAGCTGACTCCGAACTACATCAAAGGTATTGCCAAAGTGATGAATGTGACTATGGTTAGGTTTAATCCGGCATCTCTCGCTTTCCAGTTTGCCAGTTACTTTGCTTTTGGTAAGACCGATGACTAATTTCTTGGCGGGACTAATGCCAAATTGTTTCTTGTAGTGCTCCGGAGAAAATTAAAGCCATGGGGCAAGTTTTGTCCAAATCAAGAGAACAGTTATATGACTGTAAAATCGTCACTGGGAAGCTCAGAGCAATGCTTCAGACAGCTGACGAGCAAGTCAGGAGCTTGAAAAAGCAAAGCACATTCCTGAGTCAATTGGCTGCTAAGACAGTTCCTAACGGAATTCATTGCTTGTCTATGCGCCTAACAATAGACTACTATCTCCTTCCTCCAGAGAAGAGAAAGTTTCCGCACAGTGAGAATCTGGAAAATCCAAGTTTGTACCACTATGCTCTCTTCTCTGATAATGTCTTAGCAGCTTCAGTTGTTGTCAACTCAACTATTGTGAATGCAAAGGTGATGCTTTCTTATTCTTGGTATTGCTGAATTTATTTTCCTTCATTTCAAAAAGTTGCCACCTGCATGCTAACAGCTTGGTTGTTCCCCATATTATTGCAGGACCCATCCAAACATGTATTCCACCTGGTTACAGATAAACTAAATTTTGGAGCAATGAATATGTGGTTTTTATTGAATCCCCCTGGAAAGGCCACTATCCACGTCGAGAATGTAGATGAATTCAAGTGGCTTAATTCATCCTACTGCCCGGTTCTCCGTCAGCTGGAGTCTGCTGCAATGAAGGAGTATTACTTCAAGGCAAATCACCCCACATCTCTCTCTTCCGGTGCTTCAAATCTGAAGTATCGGAATCCCAAGTATCTCTCGATGCTCAATCACCTGAGGTTTTATCTTCCAGAGGTTTATCCCAAGTTGAATAAGATACTGTTTCTTGATGATGACATCGTCGTCCAAAAAGATCTGACAGGGCTGTGGGCCGTGGATCTTGATGGAAAAGTGAATGGTGCGGTGGAAACATGTGGCGAAAGCTTTCACCGGTTTGACAAGTACCTCAACTTTTCAAACCCTCACATCGCCAGGAACTTTGATCCGAATGCTTGTGGATGGGCATACGGTATGAATATGTTTGATCTTAAAGAGTGGAAAAGGAAGGATATCACTGGCATATATCACAAGTGGCAAAACATGGTGAGTCTTGGTAACGATTTGCAGAAATTCATGGCTGTTGTTGACTCTTATGAATAATAATATTGTTCGAGGTTCTGTTTTTCATAGGAACTTTCTGCTCTCTTTTGTTATGTTATTTCTTTGATAATAATACTAGCTCCTTGGTCTTGTAACAGAATGAGGATAGGGTACTTTGGAAGCTTGGGACGCTGCCACCAGGGTTGATAACATTCTATGGATTGACGCACCCACTTGAGAAGTCATGGCATGTCCTTGGTCTGGGTTATAACCCAAGCGTGGACAAAGGGGAGATCGATCGTGCTGCAGTGGTTCACTATAATGGCAATATGAAGCCATGGCTGGAGTTGGCAATGACGAAATACAGGCCATATTGGACCAAGTACATCAAGTATGATCATCCCTATCTGCGCAAGTGCCGCCTAAGTGAATGAATGAGCCCCAATTGGCAAGGCTAGGCACACTTCCATCCGAATTCCACTATTGTTCATACATCTTCAGTTCCCCTTTCCATTCATTGCATTCGTTTCCATCATTTCCTACAGCCGTTGGAAGCAGTTACTTTATAATTCCCATCTCTGTCCCATTGTTGACCTGTAAAATATCCCAAAACAAGACTGTCTCTCTCTCTCTCTTCCATCTTATTGCTTTCAGCTTTTAGATATCTTGTATTTGGTCCTGGATGGATGTTTCAGGAACTGAGTTTGGTTTGACAGTTTAGGAAAACTCCACATATGTGTTAGCTTTCGACAATGCTGTTTGCAGCGATGACTATGAGGAATCACAGTCCACTGACTTGTAATAACACCTTTTCAAACACCTTTTTAGGCTTTTGATATCCAGGAATTAGGATAACATCACAGGGGTGTGCAATGAACCGGACCGAACCAAATTTTGAGAATCACGATGCAAAAGTAAAAAGAAAAATAAGATAGACAGGGACCAGATCAACATTGAATTCGACCAAATGTGATCTGGTTTGGTCCAATCAACATATCAATCAGGTTATTTTTTCTTTAAGTAGTTATACCACTCATAAGGACTGGACCGCATTATATTCGATCGGTTTGGTTTAGTCTCGATGTCGGTTTGGTCTGGTGTGGCATGCTCTGGAGCAAATCATTGCACACCGTACCTTATTGGGTCGGATATGGTTCAATTTTGTTGGCCAAAAAAGAAAACCGGCACAATTTTATTTATTTTTTAGTCGGGTTATCCTCTCACTCTTTCCTTCGATGAATTCCTCATCCCCAATTCGTTACAACTTCTCCTCCATTCTCGTCTTTACTATCTATCCAAAACCAACACAAAGCTTCATCAAAATTCTTGGCGCCACCGTCCTTTCCCATCCCCGCAACACTCACTCTACCCCTGTGACTATGTCGTCATCGAAACTCGTGTCCTTCAGCCTCCCATCACCGCCACTTTCACTTAATGAATGATGGTTGCCTACAACCCTTATAGCTTCATCATTTATTGATGATTTCCTCTTCTCATTGAAACCACCAAAGCCTCGGGGATGATGGATTTTTGGAACCTTTCTTCCAAAGAATGGTAGTACTCTGGCTGCCAAGATCACTGGAGAACTTACATCATTCCTTCATCAAGGATCATTTCCAACAAAGCTCAACAAAATATTTCCTAGTTCCTTAGATGAAAATCATCCCTACTTTTCCAAAAGATTTAGAGCTAGCGTTTGCCTTGTTTTGGGTTGCAATTTGGATTTTGGAAGAGTAAGACAAATTTTGAGCTCAATTGTCTGGTTGGAATTGTATGTTTGGCAATGTTGTCAGAACCGAACCGGAGCATGACCCGGTAATGCGAACGGCTCGCACTTTAGCGGTCCAACCGGCATTAGACCGTTTAAAAACCGTTAGAGAACCGGTATCTAATAAACGTTATCAGTATAAATAGTGGACATTTCTTAATCAGAGCTAATCTCTTTCCTTCGAAATTGTGAAATGGAAATAAGGATTCAATTTGAGAGCCCGACGTTTTTGGTTTATTTCAATTTTTAATTTTCTACAATTTTTTTAATTAAATTTAGTGGCTTAATGGCAAAAACCGGACGAGCGGCTCGATCGGCTCGAACGGTTAACCGCCTCGGCCGCTCGACAACCGCTACATAAAACCGGAGCGGCTTTTAGACTGTTCCGAGCCGGTTTTGTGACCGGATGGCGATTTTACCGGTCGGGCCGAGCTGCTCGGCTCGGCTTTAATAACACTGATTGTTTGGGTTGCTGCTTTTCTTTTGTATTGCCTGTCTAGTGAGATGTTTGGATAGGATTTGGAGAGAAGTTTGTTAATTGTCCTTGGACAGTGATCGGGGTTTCCAATCATCAAGGATGTTTGTTCAAAATTTGAAGACCGACAAGTCAATTTCAAGTTGCAGGTTTCGAGTTAGAGGTAAATATGATGTTGATGTTATGGATGGAAATGATACCAAGTTGATTCTACATGGCAAGTCCTGACATGGGTTGAACTTGCTGCATGTTTTAATATGTTGTTCATCCTTAGGGGCATTTGGAGGCATGGGAAAATCAGGCACATTTGGAGATTTGGAGAGTTTGTTACGTCTGGCAATTTTGATTGCATTTGAGTTTGCCGATATACATCGCATTTGAGTTTGGCGATATGGATCGCATTTGGATACGTCTCACAATTTTGATTGCATATGAGTTCAGTGATTTGCATCACGTTTGAGTTTGGTGATTTGGATTGCATCTGTATATATCTGGAAATTTTGATTGCATCTGGGTACACTAGACGATATGGATCACATCTGGGTACAGTTGGCAATTTGGTCACATTTGGTACATATGGTATTTGGGAGAGAATTCAAGTCAACGTGGAGATTTGTTAGGATATGACATGAATTTTATTTGGGATTTGTTTTGTGTTTTGGGTCTATTCTGTTTTGGTTTGTGTTTGGGCTTTATTTTGGCCTTTTACTTATAGGTTTGAAAAATGTGTTTGGTTTTCTGTTTGGGATTAGGAGAAGAGATCTATAAATACTCTTCATCACTATGTCTGTAGTTAGGTCATTCAGGTTAATTCGTTTGTTTGTCTGTTACGGAATTTGCTTTGTAACTTGTACTCTCCTCAAATCAGTAAAATTGTTTCTCCCCTTCCAAGAAAAACCACTTGTTGAAACCGGATAGCTCAATTAGTACGATATTGCCCGCTTGAGGCCAAACTCGTACGTATTTTCTTATGGGTATCCTCCACAAAAGGCTTCATACTAATGTGCTTGGTGGACACTTATATACAAGGATCCTTTCCCTTGTATTATCGATGTTGTACTTGGATTGTCCCATAATATTCCTCCCCTTAAGACAAGGACCATGGACATCGTGGCCTCCCTCAACAATTATCGTGATCTGCTAAACCATATGTGTAAAGCGATCACCGATTAATAAAAAAAAGAGTAGACAGACAACCGATTTACGTGATATTCTTGAAATGCCCAGGACTAATCCACGGAAGAGTTAGGAATCTTCAATCTACTAATCTCATCTCATTCATTGTTCTGTTACATTCATCCGCCTCTACACCCTTTATATATGCGCAGCTCTCTCTAACCCTAACCAGCCGAGCCCTAGGAGAAGGTCACACTTGCATGGGCTGCATGGGCCAAGGGAAACAATGGGCCAATCGGAGACCATGAAACAAAAGAAAACATCCATACCCCTTCCTATACTACAATTCGCCTATCTATACTAACATATATACAAGGTACAAATATGTGTTAGACGTGTATATCGACTAACAAGATGTGGATCGTCACCTTTGTTCTGACAGACAGACGTAGACCTCTCTTGATCCGTCAAACGTGAATCTCTCCTGGATCCACCAAAAAAGACGCAAAACTTAAATCCTGAGGCCACTGAACACCAAACTGACGTCCATCGCACTTGATCCACCGAATCAAGCTCTGATACTGATGCTATAGCATATGTAATTGCCATCGAGGTTACCTTTGATTTCATAATGAAATTTTCATTGATCGAATTCTCAAGAAAAAACCAGTTTCAGATATAATGCACTCAAAGTCTAGTTTTTAGGTAGAAGCAAAATGATGGCTAAAATAAAAAGCGCAAATCCTAACCAATATGGTCGTATATCCAAATCGTAATAACTTAGACTTTACGCTTTAAACCAAACTTTTCACTGCATTGTTGAGATCTTTTGTCGATCCGGGTAGTTCGAAATGCGGAGGCATTGTTCAAAGTGCCAAAGTCTTTTTATCACGAGAGGTTCCAATTCTTATGTCTTCTTTGTCTGATTGGGAGTTTCACCTTTTTCGTAAACTTGCATCTCATCTTATTATGTCGAGTCTGAAGAATCAACTCAGCTGGGAGAAATGGGAGAGGGAACTGGAAGGGAATGCGATCGAGAAGTGGAATGTTTGCATGGAATATTTGTCCTCGCAGCTCTTCTGTCAACTCAAAGCAGCAGAGTTTTGGTTGACGTCGACCACCAGTCCGTACTGCCTTTTTTTGATGAGTTGGCTGGCCGGTTTCTGTTGGCTGTTATTTTTTTCATTTCCATTGAACAACAAGAAGACCAAGTTGGCAGAAGTGGCTTCTCTCTGTCTGTTAAGAACCCAAATTTGGAAAGTTGCTCTCGTAGTAGTGTCCCATCCAAATCCACTAAAAAATTTGTATTTTGTGTGAAATGTATATGTAATTTTGGTTATTAGTTCGTAGCATGGGAATCATGTGCTTCCTTTCCATCGGCACATTGTCATTGGGGAACAATTGATGACTAAACGAGACCCAATCCTGTCTCCCTCTTATGCTTTTCCATCTGAATTGAATAGAATGAAACTCAAGTTTTAGAAGTTAAATTGACTTATAGGAATGTTTAAGGATTAAAGTTATAAGTATTCGATTCAAACGAGTCCTTAGAGAACACAAATGTTTATGTTATGTGAGTTAAATATGAACATTTTTTTGAAATTTAATCACTAAGATATCAAAATATTAAAGTGGAGACTAAGCTTATATATTTGTGAAGTTAAATTAAAAAAAAATGGGTATGAAGAAATACTTGCAGAAATAAATAACACAACAAGCAAAAAATTTGAACCAAAATTCTTGTAGTTAACAAAATTGCCAAGTACGGAGTTCTAGACAATTTAAGCGATGTTTGGTGCGTCCATTGGGTCCAAGTATAATGAGAGACAAAATACAAAAAATATGTCCTAGTATAGTGGAGAGACAAAAATGCAAATGTAGAGGCAAAATGCGATTTTTAATTTTTTCTAAGATTTGCAATAAAGTCACTTATGTACCCACCGACTTAGGTCTAAATTACTGGCCAAAGCCATTTAGACCAAAATCGCTAGATACGACAATGATTTTCCTGAAAATTTTAAGAAAATCCTATGAGTACAATGTTGTCTGATGTCTGGTCATGCTAATATTTGTGTCGTGACCGCAACCTTCTTTTTTTTTAACAAAATATAATCATATATTGATTCCAATAAATTACAATAAATTATGGCAAATACATTTTTCAATGACAAACTCAAATTCCATGGTCTAAACCTTTTCCATCACTTCCAAACACATACAAATTTCAAGATAGGTCTAATAAAGCACTCTAAAGAACATAAATGAAAGCTTCAGATCATTGACCATATTGACAACAACTACATCAATGTGCTACATGAATTAATAGAATGTCAAACAACATACATAGTTCAACCCTCTTGTTCATCTCTACTAGGAACTTCACTTTCTCTTGTACAACTTTGCCTAGTGTGCGCGCCCAGGTTGTTTGCATATGCCACAATGCCTTTGATACGAGCATGGATCCAGTACCCTTAGTTGTCAAAGTCATGCAGCTTCAAGATTGAACAAGAAAAGGGATTATGAGGGGTTTTTTTTTTTGGGATAGGATGAATCGAAAGTGCATTCTCAACACAAAGATGAGAGAAGGCTCTGGTAATATAAAAGATCGAAGTTCGTCCACAATCAAGGGAAAAACTTGATTGATACAAAGAATAAAATTCTCAAGTCTAAAACTCAAATAACAAAGGAAATATCAATATTCGTCAAAGTCTGATCTAAAACTCATGTTTAAGCTTTTATTTAGGCTAGAGAAACAATAAAACTCGTCCAAACACACATAAAAGGAAACGAATCTAAACCAACTAGTGATGGCAATTTCAACCCGCCCCGCGGGTATTACCCGACCTGACCCGCGATGGGGAGGGTATTATCCAACCCGCAGTAGCATGGGGCGGGGCATGGGTATCTACTTCCGACCCACCCCGCCCTGTTCTAGACTCATTTTATCTCAATTTCTTACAATATCTATACATATTTCTCCTATTTTGACTTTTCTTCAACTAGTTAGAGTGGATCTTTCAACTTGTTAGGCTCAATTATCCATTCTATTATCAATATTTTTCATTCTTAAAGTGTTTTCCCCTACGTTTTATTGTAAAAAGTAAAATTTACTTGTATTTTTTTTTTTTTTTGAACAACATGTAAGAGTGGGTCGACCCGCCCCGCCCCGACCCGTAGTAGCGTGGGGCGGGGCACAGGAATTGAGGTACCCGCCCCGCCCCATTGCCATCACTAAAACCAACAAGGAAATTTGACCCGTCATACCCCGATTCCAGGGTCGGGTTTTCAAATCCCTGAGCGGGGATTTCACCATTTGCCCCGGGGAATAACCCCTGTATAAATTCCTGGAGGCCTCTTCAAAATACCCAGGTGGGTAATTGCCCCTTCAAATTGGGGAACTCTCTCGTCTGAACCCCCGGATTCCTCCTCGCATTCCCCGGGCGGGGAATCCCCACTTCTAACCGAGGAATTTGGCTTCCGCCGGCCAATCTTGCTTCCGCGACAAACCTACATCTCCAAGATCCGACGGTCATGGACCTGGCTCTTGAGTCTCACATCAGTCTCTCCCCATTGGTGAAGCTTTTCCCTTAAAGCTGGTGTTTTCCTGCAAGAGATAACATCAACAGAATTTCCAAATGGAATCCTTCTTAATTAGCTCAGTCAACATGTGCTTTCGAGAAATAAGATAGGCTCCACCTTCATCCTGACTTCGTGCCACTTCCATTTCCTTTCTCCTTTGCCCAAATTAGCTCCATCTATCGTTGATCTTCGAGGACTTCAGCTGGCGACAACGGTTTGAGCAGGAACTTTCGATCGTCTTGCTTGAACAGGTAGCTATCATGTCTTCCATCGTGAGTAACTCCATGATCATATTTCCACGGACGACCCAATAAGAGATGAGAAGCCTGCATTGGAGCAACATCACACCAGAGTTCATCTGCATACTCACCAATCTGAAATCGAACCTTGGTTTTTTCGTTGACCTTGATGGCTCCATAGTCGTTCAACCAATGAAGGTTGTAAGGCTGTGGATGCTTAATGGTACTCAATCCCAGCTTCTTAACTACATCAAGACTCACTACATTGGTGCAGGCGTGCAGCTATCACCATCAATCACTACAGACAACAACTTTTCATCCATCAGGCAGCGGGTATGAAATAGATTGTCAGTTGTTATTGTTCAGCTAGACATTCAAGAGAGAGCACTCTACGATTGATTCCAAGAAACTTACCTGTTGGAGGAATTTCAACAGTGATGTGCTCATCAACATCATCATCAAAATCAGAATTGATTCCCTTCCCTATTGGCTTCTCTTATTCTTCCTCCTAAGAAAAGAACTCGCTATCCCGCAAGAACAGGGCCTTCTTGTTGGGACACTAGTTTTCCTTGTGACCTCGTCCCAAGAACTTGAAGCATTGGATGCTTCCAGTTGATCCTTCATTCCTTGCTTGAATGACTGGGATCATGTTCCTAGTCATTGTCTAGTCACCCTCTTGCCTAGGGCGAGTCATAGTAGTCTCAAGAATGCTCTCTGTAGCAGGTTTGGGCGAAGGTGGGTACCTTCTTCCAGAGCTGACCTTCAACTGCTTCTCCACCTTAATGGTTAGGTGAACCACTTCCTCCATCTCCATAATCGAACGAAGCTCGACTTCATGCCTCATATCTCTATAAAGACCATGTAGGAAGCGAGAAATCGTAGCTTCCTTATCTTCCCTCTCATAAGCCCTCATCAAGAGCAGTTCAAGCTCCCGAAAATACTCCTCACCAGATCTTACTCCTTGTCGAATGCCTTGTTAAGAAGCAAAGAGTTCTCTTTGATAGTACCCTGGCATGAACCACTCTCTTCTTAGCCCTCTCAATTCAGCCCACGTTGTTACATTCGGCTGCAAATTCCTTCTTCTCTTGAGTTGTACCTGCTCCCACCATGTAGCTGCATAATCAGTGAATTCATATGTGGCTAGTAGTACCATCTGTTGCTCACTGTAGTTGCCACATTGGAAGAACATAATGATCTTCCTCTCCCAATCCAAGTATGTTGAAGCATTGAGAGATCCTTAAAACAAAGGAATTGAAAGCTTGATCTCTCGTAATTCAGCAAAGGTGTTGTCTGCCCTGCGTCTGGTGGTATTCTACCGTAATCATGATACTCGTGTTCTTAACGTGCTTAATTGGGCTCTTTCATGATGAACCTCTACTCCAAGTTGTGAATCCTTGCATCTAGGGTTGGTCGGTTCCAATTGGAACGCCTTGTTGTCGATTCTCCTTGGGAATCAGATGGAGTTCTGTTGCTGGTAGAGAAATAGAATCCAGCCTCTTGTTGATCTAGTCGAATTGAACTTAGAAGGTCGCATTCAATTGCGTCATAATAGTCTGCAACAATTCTGAAACATTAACATGTTGCTCTTCCATTGCTTGTTTTTCTATTGGGGTTTCTTTCTCTGATGAAGAATCCTCTTCTTTTCTGTGGTTTGCTAATTTCTATGGGATCTTTGAATCTCGTACGAGAAGAAACAGGTCCTCTCGGCTTCCTTCTCGCCACTATGTTGAACCGGACTCTGATACCACTTGATACGAGCACGGATCCGGCACCCGTAGTTATCAAAGTCATGCGGCTTCAAAATCGAACAAGAAAAGGAATTTTCAGGGTTTTTGTTTTGGGATAGGATACAATTGAAAGTGAAATCTCAATACAAAGATGGGAGAAGGCTCTAAATATATAAAATCTAGAAGCTCGCCCACAATGAAGGGGGAAAACTTGATTGATACAAAGTAGCAAATTCTCAAGCCTAAAACTCAAATTCTTCTCTTATTGCTCCTGTTTAAATCCCCGGTGGCCTATTGTCCCTAGGATTAATTGAAATCGATTTCACCTGGAGCAATAAGATAAGAAAACACGATAGAGGGCAAAATATTTTTTTTCCCCAAATTGCGATCGTCCTCGATGATTTAATAACACAATCATTGGAAACCTCGACGATTTAGTAAAAAGCAATGTAGGTTGAGAAGATTTGTTAGGGAGTAAGTATTATGATAATAAAAAAAATTGTGGGATGGTGTATTTTTGGGGAAAATTCAACTTGAAAATATTTATTTGGCTTAATAAACAAAGTTGAATGATCATCATCATATATATAGAACCCAAAGGGTTTAGTCTAAATCTAATACAACCACCAACCTACTCTACAAGTACAGTCTAAAGATGCCTATATATATCATATATGCTAATGCTAGTACTTAGTAGCGCACAATGGATCTAATCATATAATTTGTTTGATATTTTATTAATAAGGGTGCCTATATATGGGATTTTGAGAGCTGTACTATTGATTTGAGACATTACCACGGCCACCTACTGAATCTAATTAGAATTTTGGTACCAATAATTGTAACCAGCGTTACATAATCTTATCTAATCTAATTGAAACCCACTTCAAAATCCCCCTATATTTGTTGATTAATAACCAAAATCGTATCCCTTTTATGATGAGTACGTAGGATCCACTGTACCCTTCTTCCCAATTGCTCTAATCTAATCTTATCAATAATAAACCCAATATTATTCATCATTAATCTTTTTTCCCCCAGCTAATCTAGCTGATAGGCACAGTACTTCTTGACCTCTTCAAAAATCGAAAAAACAAAACAAAACCCTCCTCCCGCAAACAATAACAACAACAAAAAAAAAAAACAGGGGAAAATAAATGTCGTTTCCTAGCTTAGCTAATTTATTTTGTTGTATCTCTTGTCTGAAGCCAATTCGTGAAGGCATCCAAGGTGTTCATGTCCGCTCTGTAGTTTTTCTGAGTGAACTCCAAAAAAGTTGGCCAGGTGAAATCAGGGTAAGCCCTCTCTGAATTACCACTACGATGATCGTCGTCATCGCCGCTCCCATTCACCGTCGACAATAATGACTCTGGTGGTTTCACCACTCTGTCTCCGTTCGGACACAAGAAGAAAGCTAGCGACTTCCTCACCGTGTACTTATTCAACACCGCCCTGTGCAGGCAACTTCGGTACACTCCGTTCGATAGTGCCTGGTACAATCAAAATGGGGAAAATTTTGATTACTTTTTATGTTACATATCTATCACACATTGAGAAGTCGCGAAAATCGATGATTTTTTTTTGTAGCGTACCATGAAGGTGTCGCCGATGTTGACCACGAATGCGTCGGGAAGAGGGGCGACGGAGTGCCATTTGGAGTCGACGAAGACCTCGAGGCCGCCGACTTGATCTTGATGTAGGATCGTGAGGGAAGTAGGGTCGCAATGTGGTCCGGTCCCTAGTGCCATGTCAGGCTTTTGGCAAGGTGGGTAGTAGTTTAATCTCATTATCGACTCATTCCCTTCAAAAAAATCCCTATAGTGCTCCCTTCCTACTCCTAGGCTCACCCCGAGCAACTCCATTATCCTTAGCGACAAATTGCTCATCGCCTCGCAATATTGCTGGTACACCTCCCTGTTTTCCACAATTTAGATTTTAAAAAAGTTACGAACTTCATATAGAATTTTTTTTCGTTGGTTGTTGGCCTTAAGATTCGAACGACGACGACGCAGGGTGTAAGGGTAAACTCACCCGAAGTGCGTGAAGTCTTGGCCAATTTGATTCAAGACGTAATCGCGAACCGTGTTGTTTCCGCCGCCCGGGGACCGAAACGACAGCGTTTCCTTCCAGGGGAGCTTGGAGGAGAATCGGCCGGTGAAGCTGCTGGCGTAGCCGCACGACTCCCCTGCTTTCCTCTGAGCTCTCTGCTTCTCCGGCAGCCGCATCCCGAAGAACTGGTCCATGCACCGGTGTGCCTCCGACACCAGCTTCGGGTCGATGCCGTGGTTGACGACGAGGAAGAACCCGTGCTTCCTGCATGCCCCGTTCACGACGGCGGCGGCGTCGGAGACGGCGGAGGGATCGCCGGACGCGAAGCTTCCAAGGTCGACGGGCGGGATGGCGAGCTCCGGCGACGATCCCGGCCGGGGCCTGTCCGCGTGTGGCCAGACGAACTGCGGCGGAATGTTGGACTGCTCCTGGAGAACAGAGGCGTCGAAAACCAAGGGCTCGGTCGCAGCGGCAATAGCTGGAGGAGGAGGAGGAGGAGGAGGAGACATGTTAATTTGATCGGAAGTGGCGCCGGCAAAGTGTTTGTTAAAATGCCTCAGCGACAAGGAATATGAAGAATCAAAAAAATTTTGAAAGATTGAGAAGGTGCTCAACGTTCGATGGATGGACTCTGTCTGTCTCTGAGACAGAGGGAGGGATTTAAAGGAGAAGGAAAAGGAGCCTTTGATTTTTTTTTTAAAAAGAAGGAATTCCGTGGGATTTGAAATGTGATGAAACCAAATATTGGAATCAAGCTTTTGAAAGAAGAACGCACTCGCTCACTCGATACTTAATTAGCTTGTAGCAGTCTCCCAGCCCGAGTGCTCACTCTCTGGTTTTCAACCCGATTTAACCCGTTGGTTCGAGCGAGTGGGTTAATGGTTAATGATCCGATTGGTTTGATACAAATATATGAAAAAGTTATTATACTGTCATACATATATAATTTATAATATATCTCATCTAACATATGAGTAATAACATACAAATATAACACCAAAATAATAATTCGTAGTTGAAACCAACATATAATAAAAATTCAAAGACACTTAAATCTGCAATATAAGTTCACGATGGGCACATTGAATGAACTGGAACGACATAGGAACCTAGATAAAATTTTAGTAATTAGAAGAATTGTAACCCATCATTTGTGACGGGTGAGTTTGATATGAAGTGGTGGGTTGCTGGCGGCGTGGGATTTGTACCTGTGAAATCGAAGGAAAATGGCTTTTTTCTTGAATGAATGTTCGTTGATCGAGTTTTCCTAGTTTTGACTGGATTGTAGCCGATTTTGTCGAATTTTTTTACCGGAATAAAGCGGGTTTTTGATGAATCCAGACGAAGACTGAAACGAGTGTGCGACGCCTGCTTTTATCAAGGATAGTGAAACTGTACCGGAGGTTATACAGCAAAAAATCAGTGATAGGTTACTTTATACCAAAACGGTTGTTTAATCGGAGTTCTACTATTTCCTACCGTCAAAATCGCTTACCATCTTGAATCAGGTATCCGGTATTTCCGGTCCGACCGACCGATACAATAGGATTTTTCAAATATGGGTTTTTTCCCATCGGGTCTGGGTCGACCCTGAGCTAACAACCTTGTTTTCTAGTCTCTAGCTAATATAAACATTAAACAATAGCAAATCATTCTCTTTTATTTATTTTTTTCATTACAAATTGTTATTTTGTTTCTATGATTATTTTTCTAAGTGATGGGTGTGAGTGTTGAGTAGGGGTAGGTAGTCTCATGGTTTGTCGTATCCCTTAATTTGTGACTTATTTGTTTAATGAGCCCTTAATTGTTGTGATTTTGACAGTCCTATAATAATAATATATTATTCTTAGTTAGTAGTTTGTTTTTATGGTTGGAAGCCCCTATGCTGCGTTTGGCAACTAGAACGCTTTTCACATTCATAGAGCAATTGAATTAGCAAGCATATATGCTGTGTGATTCTTTTATTTTGACCAGTGGATTTAGAAAGTGCTAAACTACCTTTTTCGTCTTTAACTTGATTTTATTTATATTTTACACACTTAATGAGAAATTAATTAATTAATAACGGTAGAGCCAGCCAGCTTTTATCGTTAATGTAATGGTCGTTTCCCTTGGTAACTTACACACTTGCGCTTACGGTTGATTTATTATGAGTTGTCTCATTATTTATACATTCCGCCTCTTTTCGTTCATCTAATTCGCTATCATTAATTAACCCAAATGTTAGTTAATTAGGAGCTGGGTAGTTATAACCGTACACGAATCATGGGAGTACGTACGTAGACCGTAGTAGTTATATATCTCGTACGTGTACTCCAAGTTACATCTGAAAATTATATCATATACTATAGCATCCAGGTTATGCACAGTCGCAAAAATTAATCAGATATGAACCATTAATTTTAAGTGGAGCCAGATCTAAGAGATAATATTTTTTTAATTTTTTTATATTTTTCTTAATCGGCTTAGTTTTTTTTTTCTAGTTTGGATTTCAAAAAAAAAAAATTACGGAGATGGAAAGGGTTCGTGGTGATCAACAAAATGAACCCTTAGTTTTAAGTGGGGTCAGATCTAAGGGATGATAATTAAGGACTGTTTATTATTTATTATTTATTTTTCTTAATCGACTTTATCTTCTTCTTTCTAAACTAGATTTCAAACAAATTTACACAGATGGAACGGATTCGTGGTGATCTACAAAATGATATTCATTTTCATTATATTTTGAGCAAAAAAAAAAAGGTCTCATACCACTCGTTACCGCTCTGGTACCACCTTCATTTTTAATTTTTGCCTACACATAATGAGTTCGTAGTGATCTATTACATCTACAAATTTCTAGAAAGAAAAAAAATTCGGGACAAAGATTACCATCCTATACCACCCTGGTACAAGGTTGGAACTAGTTGTTTACATTGATGAAAGTTGGTGAATGGGGTTAATATATTTCTAGACAATCATGTATGTGTTACTACTACCATGATACACTTCCATGTCAAGTGATATAATCTTATATACATACCAAGTAGTATCACATGGTATAGCCTGTTATAAATGCTATGTATAGAGTTAGCATGGTTATGCACCCATAAACGTTTCACTTACCATTTATGGAAGGCCTCTAACTTCTCTTTTTAATTTTAACGGGCTATTTCATTTTCGTTTTAAGTAATAATTTAATTTTTCATAGAGAATTAGATTAACTATGCTCTTAAAATTGACATCCACTTTAATATTTTTTTGGGGGGGAGGGGGGGGGGGGGTTGAGACATTTATTACAAGTCCATACCGCGTGATGATAATGCTATGTAGTATAGAATATTGGTATGGAAATGAACAATAATGCTCTATATCAGGTTGGTATATTTGATCATGAAATTTTGTTTTCATAAACTTATAGATCACGTCGAACTCGTTCATTCTAGGGAAAATTTTCCAAAATTCGAGTTAAAAGCGAAGGTTGTACAAGTGGTATGGGTGGTACAAAACAATTTCTCGAAATATATTGAAAGTGAATATCATTTTTTAGATAACAAAAAAAAATCTCGAAATATATTGAAAGTAGGAGCAGTTAGTGGGTAAAATACATCGGGTACTACTAAAGTATGAGAAATGTGGGAGCTATATACCACTTAAGTAAGAATAGGGCATCGCGTGCCACTGAACTCCATTATATGTGCACCCGGTACCACTTAAGTTTATTGTTAAGTGCATTCCGTTAAAGTTGACAGAATATTCTTGAAATATTCTGTTTTCTAAATTTAAGAATTGGTCCTTTTACTTTTCTTATCGTAAATAAACATTTGGATTTATGAAAAACATCATTTTTTTATTTTTCAATTAGAATCCTCTTTTGAAGATCAAACCCATTTTTTAATAAGAAATTTAGAATCAATTATCATTATAAGTGGTGCTTCTAATTGGATTAGGGGTTTAAATATATTTTCTAATATTAATTTTAAATATTATTATTATCTTCTAGTATATTTATTATTCCTTCTTGAAATTCGTTTATTATTTTTACTAATTTCGATATTTTATTGAAAAAAATTCATTAGCCATTCTAGTAATACTAGTTGAAATATAGTTCTTGATGTTTTTTTTAAGTTTTGGCTACAAAAAGGTAATTAAATTTTCTGGGTTGGATGGATAACCCAATAAGAGTCCGCCACATCAGCGCCTCCTTCTCTCTCATCGAAAAACCTTTAATTTTCCCTCCATTAATATATAACAGACGATTTCTCACTCGTTTTAACTCGGAATTTTTTTTCACAGTTAGATCATATTAATTGTGCTCTTCAAAATGATATCCACTTTGATATTTTTTGGAACAATGAAAATTTGCCAGTTACTACTAGTCTATACCATATGATATTGACCGTACCATATGGTATTGACTAGTATTAAATAACACATACCATATGGTATGAAAAATACCACCCCATACCAGGGTGGTATAGTATGATACGGAGTTGGTAACGAGAGGTATGAAATTTTTTCACCCATAATTTTTTTGAAATCCAATAGATCATGATTAAATCGTTCCTTCTGTGCAAAAATTTTAAAAAACGACTAAACAACGAAGGAGATACCATATGGTATGGAGTTGGTAACGAGAGGTATAAAAAAAATTCTCAAAAAATATTGAAAATGGATATCATTTTGTAGAGCACAACGAACTCGTTCCATCTGTGCAAAAAAAATTGAAATCAGAGTTAGAATGAAGAAGATATTATCCAATCAAGAAAACTAGGGAAAGTAAATTTCTTTAATTTTTCCACCCTTAGATCTAAAGTCACTTAAAAGAAGGGTCCATATTTGGTTATTCATAGTTACTCACCCTAAGGTTATTTACCCTATCTTGAGCCACTAGATGGATGCACTTTTTAGAAACTTTAATGGTACCCGACGCCCTATTCAAATTTAGGTGATATGTCTCTCCCAATTCTCAAACTTAAGTAGTACTTAAGGTATTTTACCTTCGGTTAGTTTGATGCATATAAAAAATTTAACAAATCATTACCATAATTACATTCTTCACAATATGTAAATGCATACTAGTAATAATCGATAACAATCCATACCACAAATTGTCCAATACAGGCAAAAATCACCCAAGGCATACAAGAACCTTAAGAGTCTAAAAATGGAGAGAAATTGTGGAATGATGTTATCTTTCTCTCTCTCCATTTTTCCTCTCTAAATTGTTAGAGCTAGCTCAAGATATAGTGCATTACCTACTCACTAATCAGTAACTAAATTTGGACTCTTCATTCAGAATATCCAGATCTAAGGGAAGAGAATTAAATACATTTTTATTTTTACTTGTTTTCTTAATTGGCTCATATCTTTTTCGTTTTAACTTGGATTTCAATTTTTTTTGCACAGATGGAACGAGTTCGTTGTGCTCTACAAAATTATATTCATTTTCAATATTTTTTTAGAAAAAAATTCTCGTCTCGGTACCAACTGCATAACGTATGGTATATTCTTCGTTTTTAATTCGTTTTTGAAAATTTTTGCACAGAAGGAATTAGTTTATCATGATCTGTTGGATCTACAAATTTCTGGGTGAAAAAAATACATGACCAAAAAATATCACATAATACCAACAAAAAATACCACACAATACCACCATGGTACGGGGTGGTATCTTGTGGTACACAATGTTAAAAATCATAAATGACAGTTAATATACTTCTATTATCATGTATTCAATCATCCTACAGTCTTGGTTTGTTCATACCAGCATGGTATGCTTTTCATACCATATGTATGCTCTTATTTCAATACCAGTCAATACCATATGGTATAGACGAGTAAAAAATGACTCAATTTTTTGTTCCAAAAATATATCAAAGTGGATATCATTTTGAAGAGTACAATTAATCTGATTTAACTGTTAAAAAAAATGACTTAAAATGAGTGAGATTGATTTGATGAATATATGTACCTGACAATTTAACATAGATGGAACATATTTCATCGAATTACTAATCAAGAAATTCTCTTTGTTCCCTGATTGAACCTATATTTGCCCAATGGATTCAATTTGCTCATGGTAAAACTTTATATAGGTTCGATGTACTTTTTATCTTCAACGAATAGTGCAGCCTTTAATGCAGGGCGAAGCATATGGTTGCCCGACTGGCTAAATGCTATAAATGAAAACTGTAATTAATTATTCTTAACAATAGGGCCTGGACAGGGAGAATAGAGATATTTTGAATATTTGTAATATTTTAAATATTAAAGTAAGAAAATATAGAATTAATTCTATAAATTATATTATAATGATTTATAGCATCGTATATTATATATAGTCAGAAAGTTAAAATTTATATTTTATATTATTATTAATTAATAATAATAGCACTTAAATTGCCAACTTTGCCTATCGTCCGTTAAAGATCAAGAGGGGAAATAACAGACATTTCAAGAGAGAGAAGAGGCGTTGAGCCTTCTGATTGGGTTATGCATAGTTATTGACCACAAGATTATTAACCGGATCCGCTCTCGTTAGATTAAGGTGGGTCCATTTATAAAATATAAATATATTTATATTGAAAAAATATATTTATATATAATTAATATATAATTAAAATAATTGTTGATGGTTCACAATAACATTATTAACGATTTCTCGTCATTCTTCAATGAAAACTACAGGACGCAAATTTTGTTAACGACGTTAACACTGATATAATAAATCCTTAATTATTAATTAGAAACTCGAATTTAGTCTTGGTAATTACTCAATTTGACAAGAAAGAATTCTTGCCTCAACCCATGACCTCCAAGCTCCCAGTGGAACGCCATTGGGCTCTGAGGAAGACCCAATATATCGATCAAAGTGGTGAATGATACATGTATGTCGCTGCCCTAATTGCCGTTAACTTACCAATAACTCATACTAACCATAAACTAATTATTAGCTACCTGTATTACTAACAGTTAATAGGATTGGATTAACCATATGCTTAAATTTTTGGGGTTAAGCATGGAAACTCAAATCTTTGAAAGGGGATTGAGAGGGAATGATGTGGATTGTGGAGCATGAAGGAATAAAAACAGAGGAGACTATGGATTTAGGCTGATATATCACCCAAATCTCAAAAGCACAAGTTCAGTAACGTCTCATTCTGTTTTGGAATCGTTAATAAAAAGGCTCGACGATGATAATCCGATGGGTTTCTATCGTACGATCAAGTACCTATGTACTCTTAATGACTAGTTGTCAAACCCTACATTCACTTAGCAATCGCAAATAACCGGCAAGTACAACACTGGACATAGCATGCTTCAGATGCAAGGATCACTTCACTGAATAAAACCACAACGAGCTCGCTTACTGAATTGCCACATCCAGGTAATCACCAATCTGCAGAAAAGCAAAACACATGCGATTCAAGAAGTAGCTCCCACAGGAAGAAAAAAAATAACAATATGTTCATGGAGGGCATCTTCCATTACCGCGAATCCAATCTCGCCCAATGCCTTGTTGTCGTCTAATTTCCCAACCCTATTAGAGTAAGTCTTCCCAACCTTCAAGACACAAATAATCATTCATGATCAGCCTCCCAGTGAAAAATGGACCGAAATTGTGAAGTTAATAGCACCAGAAGTTGTTGAGTAACCAGGTAACTTCATACATCATTTCATAAGTAATCATCTGGAGAGAAAGAGAGAGAGAGAGGAACTAACCTCCCGCACCACAAAACGGCCATTCCTATCTGGATAGGCAAAAGCAAAAGAAAGTAACGCATCTCTTCTCCTTGCCGCTGGAGCCACTTCTTTGACCTAAAAACAGGTACACATACACGGGAAACCGAAAATCTTTTAAAAAAAGTTCATGTTAAGTTACAGGTGTAGCGAATCAGTAACATTTAAAATAAAAATAAAAATAGGTGAAGATACTGAAGCACAAGAGCATTTTGCAATCCTATTTTAAGGACCAAAATACATTCCACGTACTAATATATAAGCTTGAAATTTTAACCAGCAGAACAAAATAAAGAAGTTCTTCTTGGACCCAGTGCAGACTTGTCTAAGTGCAACTGATGGATAGGTAATGTCACCATATACCCGTTCAACCTCACGGACTGTGAGAACCGCAAATACTTTCAGACTATCACAGACTAAAGGTAACAGGAAAACAGCAAGTGGTGCGAAAATGGGGTGAGGTGCAGAATATTGCACTCTAGAGATACTAATAACAGTAACTGGCATAAGATAGAGGAATGCTCAAGGTTTGAACTGACTAGAAAGAAACAACGCGTAGAGATTCTTAAAAATAGTCCAGTTGAGTTGGGGGTGAACTGATTCTAAAGAAAAGGCAAAAAAAAGTAGATGCACATTCAGCCAAAGGGACCTTAACTTAGCCAAGTCAAAAACATTTGAGGTTCTCTAAGATGATTGCTACGTACCAAATCCGTCAATTCACGAAGAGTAGCATCCATCCATGTGTAGATTTGAACCTCGTCCTTGGGCTCCTTGCCTCTAATTTGAAATTCTTCCTTAGAGTGATGACCTCCAATCTGCAGAAGTCCAACTTAATAGCTTTTAATTCACAAACGATGTACGTACAACAGTTCATTAAACAAGGAATATAACGTTCTGTTCAGTTAGAAACCATTGTTGAGAGTGAAATTATAAGAGTTCATCGTAGATACTTCCAAATAGTTTCCACATTCCATGCCCGAAAAAGTTAAAACATACAGCAAAATCATTGATCAATGCCCTAAACATAGTCAGCTTACCTTGGTGAAAACCCGAAGCAACAGAGGACAAGTCTGCAATTTTTCCAAAAAAGAGAAAAAGGTCATTAGAGTTACACAAGCAAACCATTCATAGTCACAGCAAAAGAAGATATGTAATACTTCAGCTAAGGTCATCCAACTATATCAAACAGTTGAAACATATTTCAGACTTCGCAGTTTGAAAGGCACAAGCCAGAAATCCAATTACAGACGCGAAAAGGTCGCCTCGATTCCTCCCTAATTCTCCGTACCATTCCTATGCGACATTGACCCGCTCTGCAAATCAAATTTCGAAACCCTAGAGGTTCCGACGCATATTCCGAGATGGCGCTCAAACCCTAGCAAATAGATTCTGACCGACTGGAGAAAAAGAAAGGAAGAATACCTTCTCCCTATCGACAGGGGGAAGCGGGCCTTTAGAAAGAGGCGGACCTCTATTGCCAGGAGGCGGCAACGGTCTCCCTCCTTGCCTCTTCGCTGGTTCTGCGTATCCCGCCATTAGTACACTGCTGCACGCCTGCCCTTGACCGTTCTTTGCTTGGCTGCAGCTCTGGAAACCGGAAGCTTTGGCTTTTGCTCGTGCTGTAGGCTAAGAGTCTAAGAGAGGCGGCGACGACAAGAGAAACTTGTTTCCTTGTTGGGCTTTATGTAAGCTTCCGCGCCCCAATTGAATTGCTGAGGCCCAGCTCAGATTCATTCTAAATTTAGATGGGCCCTTGCTCCATGGAAGCAGGTTGAATTGCTTCTGCCTCCAGATGGCAATTGAACCGAATACACAGGTATTCAGTCCGATTCAATCCGCTCAATGCGGGTTTATTTTTTTTTTTTTCTAAATTAGCGTGTTGGGTTGGGCTTGTGTATTGTAAAACCCAACTCGCACCCAGGAAGCAAAACGACGTCATTTTGTATCTAATATGAACAATATAGATATTTCTTGGATGTTATTAGTCTTTATGAAAAATATAAACCTAATAATATGAATAACTTATGAATTTTATTAGTTTTTTTGAAAATATAAACCTAATAATATGAATAATCTATGGATATTTTTAGCCTTTCTACAAATATATTAGTACGAAAAAATTTCTTTTTCGATGAATGGTGGGCTTTATTCACCATACTATCAATACTCAAAACATATAGCATCGCCAAAGGTAACATAGCATAGTGGTGAAACCACTGGACCAATTGAGCTCTGGATGTGGGAGGTCCTGAGTTCGATTCCCAATGGCGCCACTTGAGCATTCTCGGCGGCACCCTTGGTATCGGAGAAGAAGCCTCCCCGATGTTGGTAGCAGAAAGCCCGATGTTGTCAGCTACAGCTTCTGCAAACTTCAAGTTCTTCCAATTAAACACTTCCCAAGTCTTCTGACAGCAGCCTGAGTTGCAGTTTGGAAATCAACAATTAATGGGAACTTCCACAAAACAAATACCATTCCCTTACTTCTTGGATGTAGGAGCAAGAGAAGTACAAGTGCTCATTTGATTCCGACTATGATTGACAAAGAGGACAGGTATCATTGACTTCAGGGCTCCATTGCTTGACTTTATCTAGGATTGTAATTTGACCTTTTAGAATGAGCAATGTTAATAGGGAATTCTTAGGAATCTGGGGATCTTTCCATACTAAATTAGACCATGGAACCGCCTCTTGTCTTGGACGTATGGTGTCCCAGACTTTACCAACACTGAATCGATCCATGAGAGAGCCATCACATTCTACCCTCCATTGGTTGTTTTTACTAGATGAGAGCATATAAGAGGTCTGAGTTTGAGAATTTTATTCGAGACCTAGGAGCCATTAGTCTGAGTTTCCCATATGCTAACATTCCTTAACTTGTACTCATTCAACCAAGCAATCCATAGAGTCTCCTTATCAGCAAGTGCAGCCTAGATATGCCGAATTAAATACGCGTGATTCCATGATCATAAGTCCTTGAATCCTAGGCCACCTTCTTGTTTTGGTAGAGCTACATGCTTCCAGGCAACTTTAGCCTTTTTATCTTGCTTTAGGTTTCCCCAAAGAAACTTAGAACACAGTCTTTCCACCTCCCTTATTACTTTTTTTGGGAGGCGAATGATGTTCATCCAGAATTGAGTGACATTGGCCAAAACTGCAATCTGCTGTTTTCAACTTCCCTGCATTCAAACGAATACCAAGATAACGGACTGGGAGGACTCCTTCTTTAAACCCTGAATTCCTAGCCAGTTCAGCTTATGCTTCAACAGACACTCCAGCACTAAAAATCTCACTTTTAGATGAGTTGCATCTTAAACTAGAAACTAAGTAGAATTTATCCAAGATTGCAGCAATTGCATTCACTGCCTCCACTGAACCTTTGGTGAAAATCAACAAATCGTCAGTGAAACAAGGTGAGTGAGACCAATTCTGAGGCACTGAGGTTGATAAGGGAGGACTGCTCTAGCTGCAGCTATGTTCAACATACTGCTGAGGACTTCCATACTTATAGTAAACAGATTAGGAGATAATGGACAACCCTATCTAAGACCCTTTTTAGCAGGAAAGTAACCAACTAATCCTCTATTAAGACACATTGTGAAGCTGTTTGATTCTAGACACTCCTGCACCCACTTAACAAATTGCTCTAGCAATCCCATAGCTACATTAACACTATATATGAAACTCCAATTTACACTATCAAAAGCATTCATGATGTCAATTGAACTGGTAGTGTGGTTTTTATGGCCTATAGGTTGTGTACGACCTTCCCATTCCTATATAACCATTAAGTCGGGAAAAATCCTATTTAAATTAAAAGGCCGAAAATTGGCACAGGTTTACCCCCACTGCTTAAGCTCACTAGAGGGGGTAAAAAAATTGGACCTAATCCATTTCCTTGTTTTAGCTTTGTTAGAAGCCTTATCCAGCTTAGCAATCAGTATAGCGTGGGCAAAGGATTGAGGTTGGATCATAGTCACTGTCGGACTCAATTCCTTTGCCAAGCCACTAATGAAACTAGAATTGAAATATTCTTTTTTTTAAGGAAAATAATTGAAATATTCTTCGGCCAAGGCAGGGTTGTATTTCGACATTTGTGGCTTCATATCCCCAAACGTCTCCTGGTATTTCATTAACGAATCACATTTGCCTTAGCATGTTACACTCACCAACAATTCCATCAAGTGTCCAATCGTCGAACCTTTCACATAGAGCAACCACAAACTCCTTCCAAACCATCTATCCGGCCGGCTTTCGTAATAAATTGTCGCTTTCTCACACACTGGTCTAATGGAATATCATAGAGGGATTGGTTAGCATGCTAACCCTTCTAAGGGGTTGGAAAAATGACACCCCTATTAATTATAGTTATATTTTGTATTAAATTCGTGTTGCATTTAATAATCTTTGGAAATTAAAACCTCATCTTCATTACATTCCCTTTTTTTTAACTACTATTGCACTGATACAACTACCATTGCACCTGTATACTGAACTCATATTAATTACGTTCCTTTTTTGGAACTACCATAGCACTGATATATCTACCATTGCATCTGTACACTAATACCATTGCACTGATACAACTACCAGTGCACTGAAAAAAGGAAAGTAATTAATATGTGTTTTTAATGCATACAAATTATTAAATGCAACACAAATTAATTACCTTAAAAACCTATAATAAATAGGAGTGTCATTTTTTCAACCCTTTTAGAAGGAGACATGTTATCTCATCCCATATCATAGATCTCTAACTTTTTCTCACATTTTCTAGTCCATTCCTCAGTTGCTTAATTACTGGCGAATCCAACTACTAACTCCCCTAACCTCTTATTTATTACATTTGAGGACGGTGCATTACATACGCTTGTCAAAAAAAAAGGAACACTAAAAAGCAGCGGCATCAAAATACACTTACTTCTCATTGCCAAAATGCAAATCAAGGTACTTTTGACTTCCCTCCATTGCCCACTACTGTGGTGGACATGTACAAATCTTGATATGGATAGTCACCAACAATACATTACTTCAGATCTGTGGGAACAACGTATTGTTATGGTTTTACAAGGAGGGATAAAGCTAGGATCGGATGAGATGCCAACCCAATGAAATACAGTTCATGTTGGCACTCATCACCACATTATTGATATGTCACAGCTCGCTCTCTCTCTATATATATATATAGCATAAGAAGAAAATGAATACGATAGAACAGTTGAGGCGTCTAAACATGAACATAACTACCATCCAAAGTTGGACAGCATAACTTAATCAGGAGGGCCGAATGTGGAAATGAAGGAATAGTACCCAGCTGCAGCTTGCAAAGGCCAATCAATGGAATGCTACTAATTCCTAGGAAGCAAGCGCTTGGTTGGAAGTCCAATGAAGAGTTCAGTCTCCACATCTGAAACTGGACTGCCTTCATCATACCCTGAATTTTCATTCTGCTGTTCTTTCTCCATCTCTTTCTGCTGCTGCTGCTGCTGCTTCTCTTGCTCTTCATGCATTGATGAGTCCGTTCCACACTGCACAACCAAAACTCATTCTTTATATATAATACCCAATTCTAGTCATTTTTTTAAGTATGGGAAGTGGGTATTTTTGTGAAGGAAGCAAGTGCCAACAACAATAATGATTTGTTTGGTTAAGTCTATTTTCTAAAAGAGTTATTAAATAGCAAATGTTTCCTTTGTCTTGATCCAAAATCACCATTACTTCCGCTAATCCTCAACAAATTTGATATCAGAGCCATAATAGGTCTTACGGGCTGAAAACAGTTTCCGCAAAAATCATCTTTCCTTCCTTACATACAAAAAGGAGGAGAGGTTTCACCAAGAAGAAGCAAGAGAAATGAGGAGCAAGGAAATCGTTGAAGAAGCTCTCAAACGACAAGCAAGGCGTCAACAAAAAGGAGGAGACAGGCAGAGACAAGGGAACAGCCAAAATCAATGGACAAATATCCACAATGTGGAGTTTGTAGGAAAAATCAACCATCTAGAAAAGATTGTTGGTTAAAAAAAAAAACACAAAAGTGCATTTTTTGCAGGTGCATATCAAGAAAGTTCAAGTTCGTCTTCAGACTCGCAACCAATAAGAGCAAAGGTCATTGGCAAAGAATTACGAGTTCAACACTGCCGTGAAAGAGAAGCATAAAAAATAAAATAGAAAGAAAAGAGCTTCTGTAAGTGTGTTTTGTGAAAAAAAGCAAGTGTCAACAATAAGGCCTTGTTTGGTTAAGTTTATTTTCTAAAAGAGTGATTAAATATTAAATGTTTCATTTGTCTTGATCCAAAATCATTATTACTTCCGCTAATCTCAACAATTTTGAGAACGTTAAAACTTTCCAAAACATCTCAAGTTCAAAGTTTAGGGCAAACATTTAGTTTGGTTAGTCGTCGTGTTAGCAAATTTATGCCACAGCATAATACGTATAGGAGTCATATGTAGAGAGGGAGCATTGTGAAGCAGTGCTGACCTTTTGGCACAGCTTCTCATTCTCAGCCAACAACACTCTCTCCTGCAACATAGACAGGCAAACAGACAAACCCAAAATATTTCTTCAATACATTTCTCTAATGCTTATTGCTCGTGCGCACAAGGGAAAAGCGGGGTTAACTACAAAGTAGGAGATGTCATTAACCCTCCAGGTAAAAACAATTCACCTTTTCTTTCAGCTTCTCAACTTGATCCCTGAAGACTTGATTCTGGACATATATATGCATAGATGATTTGATTCAGTACACATCCACCGTTATCCATATTTATAACTTTACCTAGCCAATATATGTTCAAGCAACTGAAACCCTAAGAAATGAAGCTGATGGTAGTGGGAAAAAGAAGCATGGCCTCACTGATGAGTAACTTATGTTCAAACTTGAACCAACAATGGGCTAGACAATCTAATTGAAACCCTAAAAGAGTTGAAAAGATATGCGCATGATAGAGATACCTTTCTGGCTCGAACGACACCAACACTCTTCTCCAGCTGTTGCTCAATCTGCTGTAGGTCTTCCATAGTGCATGATCCTAGATCTTCTCCCATCATCCTCCTGTGTTTAGACAAAATAGAGATGACGTTGTTACCTTCAGTCTCCATTTTCTTGTACATGCGTGAAAAGGGGAGAAATATTGGATATGCAAAATTGGATGGTAATTAAACCTTTTGGAGGCTTCAAGAACCTGTATCTTTTTCATCATGTTTGCTGCTTCCTCCTTCAACTGCTGCCATTCCCAATCACAAAAGTCATGCATTTTGGCACAGGAAGTGACTCAGACGGTCGACTGCAAAAATAAAGGAAATGGTGAAAACTAAACCTGCATGTTTTGCTCGGGTGGTGGTCTGGGTTTTGGACTGTCTTTCACATGCTTCCTGTAACGTTCCACTGTGCCCTGCATGCTGAACTCAACAGCCAGCAAAAGCATCGATATTAAGGATTCAGGCAGGAGTAAGAACTAAGAAGACCGTTCCAAGGCCATAATACAGCAGAGTTACAAAAGAAGAGATCAGCCACGGACGTGCAAGGGCATGAATCCATATGCTTTAGACATGAGGAAGACAGTAAGTACGTATGTAATAGGCGTATATATGTTTTGGGTACTACCATCTATTATACAAAGAGGGAACGAGCATGCGGTTGATTCAGCCATATCACGGTTGGATATCTGGTTTATGTCTATTCTACATTTTCATGCCTCTTTTACTTTCATAATACATTATATGATTCCACTTTGTTTTCAAGATGCATCTGGTTTTAAACTCCATTCAGTTATATATGTATGGTTGGAAGAGATTATTGAAAACCCAAAAAGCAAGAAGGGTGCGTAACGAAGGGTTATAGAAGTGTCGGATCTAAGAGATGAGATTAAAGAATTTTTTTCCTCACTAGTTTTTTATACTCGGCGTTTATCTTTTTTTTTGTTATAACTTTGATTTCAAAACGATATCAATTTTAAATATATTTCGAGAAAAAAATTCATATCATTCGTTATCATCTTGGTACCACCTTCATTTTAACTCAAATTATGCACGGAATTAACAAATTTATAATGATATATTGGATCTACAAAATTACAGATGAAAAATTCAGGACCAAAATATACCACCTCATACCACCTTGGTATAGGGTGGTAACTTGTTATAAACAATGATAAAATAGGGTAAATACAATTAGTATATTCTTAGTTTCTTACTATCATGTAAGCGATTATTATACAGTCTGATATGGTATTACTACCATTGTACACTTCCATATCACGTGGTATGATCTTATATAATGCCAAGCATTAGCATTATAATAGACTAGTAATAAATGTCTCAATTTTTTTGTTCCAAAATGTATCAAAGTGTATATCATTTTAAAGAGCATAAATAATCTTATTTATCTTTAAAAAAATTATGACTTAAACAGAAATAGAAATAGCCCATTAAAATTTAGAGAGAGAAAAAATTATAGGTCTTTCAAGAACGATGATGTGATAAGTTATACATGGTTATGCATCACAAGATTGTGCACTCGATTCGCTGTCTAGCTGATTGTCCAAGATTAGGAAATATAAAAAAAATGTTAATATATATATTTCAAATTTCAATTATTACATTTCGTGAATATGTATATTTTTATAGCACAATAGTGAACTAAGCATGATAATAAAATTTATACACTTAAATATATGAGTACATTGTTTTATAGTTAAATAAAAAATTCAATAAGCTACAAAAATCCATACCTAAAAGTTAAAACTATGGCGCTCCTCAATAAACAATCATATCTGCTCATTCTGTTACCCCCAAACTACAACGAAACCCTACAAATGAGCAGGAGGTAAAACTACCAAACTATACTTAAAGATATGAGTACATTTGTTATAGCATAATAATGAAAGTTAAAATATTTCAAAAATTAAGGGAAAATTACATAATTTGGATATATGAGTACATTTGCTACATCTAATAATATCCATTCTATAATAACTAACATTTTCTGTTACCATCTTGGTACCCTAAACCTTCATAATAACTAACACAATTTGATTATGAATGAGATTCTTGATGTAGCATATTCTAAAAAACGCTCTTCAATACTTGCAATTACAAACCCCCTTATAAAAGTGACAATAAAGGAGTAAGAAACAAATGAGAGATTGATCATCTCAAAGATGAGATTGACAATCATCCATAATGAATAATCGTGGTGGTATGATTTTCTATTCAAATACAAGTATTTTATTTTATTTTAAGGCAAAAAAATGACAAATTATCCTAATTACATGTTTTGTCTAAATACATCATCCAAAATCGCAACTTCCAAACGACCCCTAAAATAGAGGAAAAACTATAATGGAATGGGAGAAATGAAATAACAAAGAGTAAAATTAGAAGCATGACTTCACTAACAAACCCTACAACTTAATTTTATAGTTGATGTAGTACCTCAAAATATGATGAATATATTGCCACTCATTCGTACATTCACATATTACTTATACCAAAAGTTGGTTTGATCTACCGGTAATCTTTCAGAACCTTACAGGGGGAAAAAGCAATGGAAAAGTAGTGTTTCTTAACATTAGAAAGGATTAGATACATTTTTTTATCAAATACAAAATGTCACCCTCGAGAGATTATACATATGTCATATATAGACTTCATGGTCCAATATATTTGGGGAGTTCTATCCTAAGGGTAAATCTAGAGTTATCACATAACCGGAGTAACAAAATGCTATCTAGATTTTGAATTGACTAGTCTTCGAGATATCATACTTCAAAATTAAAATCTATGTATTAATTAATTCTCTAAATGTTATACATTAAGATTAATTTAATTAGAAATAATAATTGATGGTTATAATTCATCAAAATACATGCACCAAATTACATATACGATCTTAGAGTTTAGGATTTATGATTTGAATAATTAGGACCTAGGATGCACTTACTAAGGGTTAAAGTCTAGAATCATTATCCAAATTATTGTTAATTCGAAGTCCATATAGCATTTTTTTTAATAAGGTATGAGGTACCCTAGATTTATTTTATGTACAATAAGAAGTCACCAAGGATACAATAAGCTTCCAAAGATTGCCAATCAGGATGGTCAATGCGTTGAGTTGAGTTTTGTCTAACACCCACTCAGCTCATTAGTAAACGAGTCTATCTCAAGCACGACTCGTTTACTATAACATTTATTCGTGTTTGACATTATCTCGACTCATTAATGAGATCATGAGTTCTTATCAGATTTGGCTCATCAATCAGCTCGAGCTCAACTCATTTATCATTCTAGATAGTTAAACCCTTAAACTAAACTCTAAAATAATTTATAAAGTAAGTATATTAATATTTGTATGTCATGTAAGATACATGTGATTAATGTCATGATATGAAAAAGAAATAATAAAAGAACTTTCATCATTAGTTGATTTCGTGCTTATAAACTATGTTGATATTATATTATTTAGTTCATATTTTAACTAGTTCGCATCTTATTATTTCATAATAGTTAGTATTTAAGCAATTTATTATACATAATTTGCTTTGAAATTATAAATGAGACATAATTGTTCACATATATTAAACTTCATATAAACCTATAAATGATGAACAAGCCAACTCATATGATATAGATTAATCTGCTCATGAGCCGGTAGTTGAGTTGACTCGCTAGCTACAATATCGAGCCACCTTATGAGCTCGAAACGTCTAGCCCACGAGTTGAGCTCAACTAGTCACTTAGTCGAGCTGACTCACGAACCTCTCAAAGTGAATAAAAGTTTAGCTCAAACTCAGCTCATCAGTAAACAAGGTCTGAGTTTCAAATGAGTTTTTTCCCCGAACCGAATTTCAAACCGAACAAATTAGCTCAGTCCTATTTTTCAACCAAAACGAAACCCATTATATATTAAAACTATTTATTTCATAGGACATTACAAAGAAACGACAGGACGTGTCAAAAAATAGATCAAACAATCGTATATCCTCCCAGAAAAGGTTAGTATGTTGTGAAGTGACAGCATATCATCAGTACTACTTGCCATGATGATCACTACTACCACAGCTAGCTACTCATTTATACTTTCGCATTAGATCCTCACCCTTTGGTTGTAAACTAACTTATATAATATAAAGTTACCAAATGGCAGTCGGTCCAGAACAGCTTGGTTAGTTAGTTAGTTTATTAATTAATTAGTTTGCATCAACAAAAAAGGAATCATATGTAAATATCCTCCCAGAAAAGACTTTAATTTCAAGCCTATCCATCCATATATTGGCATCGTCACTGATCCACTCCAAAACTTAACGTGACTGAAATAGTATTGTTTAGGGTGTAGTAGTACTCCCAGTACACTTGCTGTCTCACTTGCAAGTTGCAAAGTTTGCAGACACTATACTGAAACCAACCAGTATTCACCATATAAAGAGAAAAGAAGAAAAAATCCAATTAACTAAACCAGTATTCGATTTGCCCAAAATAGAATCTTGTTTATCACATATAATTTCACCATATAACAATTTGTCTACGTACGGATATGAAGAAAGGGGTCACCAATCAGTGTAAAAGCAGTAGTGCGGGCAGGCAGGCTCCTTACAAGCAAGGAAGGAAACAGCACAAAGAATTTGCATTTAACCAAGTACCCCCTTGTTTGTTTGTTTGACAGAACTATACAGTTACTAAAAAGCGTTGCTTACTCGTGTCTAGAACGGTATGAATTTATTAAAAGATGTTAGTTTCGTTAGCTTAATCTTCAATAAGGTTTCATAATCATTACGAAATATCAAGTAAATGGAAGATCTGGGAGAAGAAGAAGAAGAAGGAGGAGGAAGTCACATTAATAAATAGTTACAAAACCAACATCAATGTTGAGTCTCTCCTCCTACTAATTAAACCCAGGAGCTGTAAGGAACACAAAGATTCGACTCTAATGTACTTTTCGCTCTCGCAGGAAGAAATTAAAAGCAAATGTAGGGGGGGAGGAATATACACACACATATAGATCAAAGAAAGAAGATGCAAAAGAAGGAAAATGATGACTGAAAGTAAGATGGTACCTGGCGCTGGCGAATTCGTAGAGCTTGCCGCGAGGGGAGAAGACGAGGAGGGCAACCTCGGCATCGCAAAGCACAGACAGCTCGAACGCCTTCTTCAGCAGCCCATTCCTGCGCTTGGAGAAGGTCACCTGCCTGCTCGTCGCGTTCTCTATCCTCCTCATCTGCGTCTTCCCCCGCACCATCTTGCCGCCTCTTTTCTTCTCTTCTGGTTTCTCTCAGCTGCTGCTGCTCCTCCTTTCCCAACTTCAATGTCCGTTTTCTTTCTTCAGATCGGAAACCCAAAACCGACCCCCAGCTGAAATTTTTTCGACAGAAACGAGGATCATCGCCTACCCTTTTGTATGTAACTAATCAAATCGGTCAATAACAAATCACATGGGCTATTATTATTATTATATATGTAATAACAACATATATAATCAAGCAGGCTAGCTATATGTATATGATATATTCAGAGAGAGAGAGAGAGAGAGAGAGAGAGAGCAATTTAAGTAATTAATCTAATTAACAAAGAAGGAATGGAACTCAACTAACTCACCCCCCACAAAGAAAGAGACAAACTCCCTTCCTTGCACCCCAAACAGTGTCGCTGCTGCTGGTGGTTGTGATTTTCGAGTAATTAAGGTAGTAGCTAGGGGAGCAGAAAAACCAACACAGAAAAACAAACCAGATTCAAGAACAGAAAACCCAGAAGGAAAGGAATATAAGTAAAGGGGTTATGGATTCTTAGTTGAGAAGAAGCGAAGTGGGATTAATTTGGAAAATTTTGGTGCTTTTGGGCTTCCCAATTTCACCACCAGGAGGGAGAAAGGAGGAGAGGAGGGAAGGTGGGTTTTCTTTTTCCCTTATCTGGGCAGTGGCTGGCTGGGTTTGGAGGTCAAAGGTTGGTTGTGGATGAGAGTTTTTGGAAATTTTTACCATAAAAGCCAATAACCCCAGAAAAAGGGTTTGACAAAGAAAATCACCCAAAAGCAAAATGAAATCCTATGCCAAATCAAGCAAGGCAGAGCAGCACAGCGCAGAGCAAAGAGAGAGAGAGAGAGAGAGAAAAGAAAACCAGGAAAGGAATCGACCGACGGGAAGGGTAAATAAATTTCTGATATTGATGGGAAGGAGATGGTGAGGAGAGGATTGGCAGAAGAGAAAGAGATATGCAGGAAATGGCAAAAACCCAAATAAAGAAGGAGAGAGAGAAGAGATGCTCTCAGCTCGCTCGCTCGCTCAACAAACTAGCTCTAGCCAGCTACCCTCTGTACTTAGTTGTTAGTACTACCTTTTTCACTTTAATTAATTGCATTTTTTTTTTTATTATCGAATTTTTTTTATTTGTTTAACCAATTGTTTCCTAGTTCACGAAAACGAAGCAGCAGCAGGAAAGCATCAACCAAACCAACCAACCAGCTTTGTTTTGTTTGTTTCCTTATTCATATAAATCTTTCACTGTTTTTCCATCTCTGCTCCTTCCTCAGACCCTGCCTATTTCCAGCAATACCCTTATTTTACTTGCTTACGTGATTAACAACAACAGCTTATTCATTAGTATTCTACAGAATCAATGCATTTTTTTTCATTTGTAAGCTGTTGAATACTAATGAATAAACTTCAATATGATATTCACTTTGATATATTTTTTGGAAAAAAAAATAAGCCATTTTTTCACTAGTATGTATCATATGGTATTGACTTGTATTAAATAAGAGCATACCATATGGAATGAAAAAGCTTACCATGGTGGTATGAACATACCAAGACTGTAGGATGATTGAATACATGATAGTAAGAGTATACTAACTGTCATTTACGACTTTCAACATTGTGTACCACAAGATACCACCCCGTACCAGGGTGGTATTGTGTGGTATTTTTTTGGTCCTGTATTTTGTTCACTCAAAAATTTGTAGATCCAATATATCGTGATTAACTCATTCCTTCTGTGCAAAAATTTTAAAAACGACTTAAAGACGAAGAAGATACCATATGGTATTCACTTGGTAACAAGAGGCAAGAAATTCTTTTTTTCAAAAATATTGAAAATGGATTTCACTTTATAGAGTAGAACGAACTCGTTCCATCTGTGCAAAAAAAAAAAGAATTGAAATCCAAGTTAAAACGAAGAAGATATGAGCCGATTAATAAAATAATGGAAAATAAAAATGTGTTTAATTTCTCACCTTTAGATCTGAATTTTATGGGTCCACTTAAATCTGATGCCTGAGATTTAGTTACTCTTACTCATGATGAGTAACCATGGGGTTACTGACAGGAACTTGAACCGTTATTGCTAGGTAGGTTATGCATCTTATATGCATGGTCCATGAAAACGTATCGTACCGGCGGTTCAACCACGAAATACCAGTATCGAAGGCTAAATCGGTAGGCGGTATTTAACGATCTAACGGTTGAACTACGGTTAAACCACGATTTTACCATAAAATATTCTACTGTTGACTTTCCCGATACGATATCCGGTACGGTTTCATGGACCATGCTTATATGTTCCCTTTATGTTATGGATCTATCGAAAACATCAAGTCCAAAGTCTACGGTTATTAAAATTTAGATAATCACTTTGTCATTAAGTTGTAGCGTGCTAAATTCATTCATTATTATTATTCAAACCGTAATTTGGTGTTAACACATTTCCACTTTTTTCAATTATTTTGATAAAATTTGCATGAACTATATTCAGATTAAAACATACAACTTACTAAACCCGTATAATAATTTAAATTGTTTGACAACCTTGCCACACCAATCTCCTCTCTTACATTATCTTGTTATTACTATGTTATATTATATTATATTATATGGTGCTACCTTTTATCTTCTATTAAGTAATGATTATCAATGTTATAATCATACTGCTTTTCCTTTTCATTTCTCCTTTGCAAGTGAGGTTAAACGTATACCACCTTCTTTTCCTTGTTTTGGTAATATCCATGATGCACCAATTAAAGTCAAGCAACCCAACTTATTCCAAGTGGGAAAAGGGGAAAAAACCTGTAAATTCAATTTCAAAGGCCGTGTTTGCGGCAAATCCCCTCTCTGTTTCTAATCTAACCTCAGATTTCACATCATATCCCACCCTAACCTTATGTATAGCTTCTGTTATCTTAATAATCACGTCCTCGTACAATCATATATACTACTACCGTTTGTTACAGGTTTAGAATTTCTGCTAGTAGAGAGTTGATATCGGTTTGGTTGATGGACATGGCAGACCCCTTCGTCTTACGAATTTACTGCTATATTCCTGGGACAAGGGGCAAGATGTGTGTATCGATCTGACTGGATCTTCACCTATAACTCAGATTAGGATGATTGGTTTTAAACCTGACCGAGTTGTTGTTGATGTTGCTCAACGAAAGTGTGCCAGGTATCGATACTTGTTCATGGCGGCTGGTTATGGTTTCCTACCCTTTTCATTTTCTTTACTGGGAGAGTTTGGTACGAATGTCGTGGTTTTGCTCAAGCGAATCCATAAATTCTCAGGATTCGGAGGTTTGGGCAGCCACGTACATTTTTACTAAACTTAACTTTGTTATAACTAAAGGAGTGAGGACTCAGATTGTATGTCGGCTCCCCACTAATTTTTTTTTATATTTTTATTGTTATTCCACTTACTAATAGTTTTTATTGTTATATTTCCACAATGAGTTATTTAAACACAAATAACTTGTTTAACAGCGTTTTACTTAAATGACTTATTTACAAATAACTCAAAACGAGTTATTTGAAATCACTCATACCCATGTGTTATTTTGAAATAACTCGTTTTACCACTCTATTTTTACCAAATACCACATGTCAAATACCCCATTTGCATGGTTCAACAGAAACGAGATACTTTATTTCAATTACCACTGAAATAACACTGAAATACCATATGAGAATGTGATATTTGTGAGTTATTTCACAATAACTACCCCTGTGAGGTATTGACAATAACTCATTAATGAGTTATTTCAAATTAACTCAAGTACAAATAACTCATCACCAACTTTTCTAGACAAACGAATCATACGAATAACTCATTCAAACAACACTAAATTTTTTGACTCTACAAATATCATGTTGACAATTAACCCATCATAACGACCACTAAGTGGGTGGATATCATGATATATAGTGAACATAACAGAACATAGAAGTGAAAGCTATAATGTAACTGTATAAAAAAGCTATAATATTTGTTTCTCAATATTGAAATTTAATTTTTGAAAAAAGCAAACTAATAAGTAATAACCTACTATTCCGTCAGTTTTTAATATTTTCTCAAAATGTACGAATGCATTATAACCTCATATAAATTGGATGCATCTCTTTCATGCCATACGTAGCTTTTACACATGTATCTGCATTTTACCCTTTGCTCGCTGGGTTCTTCCTGAACCTCAAAGTTTGGTTCTCTAGACCTTCTTCATGTAACATCCAACACATTTTCTGACCAAAAATTTATTTTAGGACTGCTCCTGCACGACATTCCTCTTTGCCTCTTTGGGAATCAACGTTATCATTCAGGTTTGTTGTACCATCGTTTAAGAGGGACGCAGAGAGGTTACGATGCCACTTGTAATAGCTCAACCGTATTTTGATCAATATATTTTTCAGTTCTGCGCCTACCCGTTTAACAATTTTTTGCTTTTGGAGTGCATCATGGAGAGTGGGACTTCTCAAAATGACACTCATTTATGCACTACTGCACACTAAGCACGTTTCATTTCATTCGTTTCACTAAAAAACACGTAATATCAGTTAAAATTAAATAATTTATTATAAATTATATATATCTCTCTCTTATTTTATCAATCAGGAATTTACCAACGTGGTTCTGCATAGGGCTGCAAATGAGCCGAGCTGCTCGCGAGCGGCTCGGCGTTCGACTCGAGAAAAGCTCGTTCGAAACTCGACTCGTTAATAAACGAGCCGAACACGAGCTCACCTTTGTTCAGCTCGTGAAGCTCACGAGCTAGCTCGACTCGGTGGCTTGTTGAGCTAAACTCGTGAGTTGCTCGTTTAGAGCTCATGATATGTCTTAACATGTGGCTGGAGAGCCAACTCGATTATCAACTTATGGACGAATCAATCTATATCTTATGATTTTAATTCATATGGTTGTTAAATTATATATCTCGACGTATATAAAGTTTAACACGTTGAGTATGTGAGCAAATATATCTTA